AGTATTGGAGGAGGTTTTATTTCTAAGAGACCAGAGCCAATAGGAACTAAATAGAATTTTTAGTACAAAACAGAGTTAGACTAGATGATTTTTCAAAGCATATGAGTTTTTGAAAAGAAAGCTTTCCTGTGTGAGTATAAGACATCTGCTGTTTAATGTAAGTATGATTCTTGCTATTATTTTGAAAGCAGAAGTGCTTTGTGGGACATGAACCAGACCCGGTATAGTGCAGGCAACTTGCCCATATGGTTTAGATCTGCACTGACACACTGGTTGCCCCCCAGGCACATGTGGGTCTTCAAATTTAAACTTCTTACAATTCAGTTTCTCTGTTATAACCTCATTTGTCCATAGCCACATGTGACTAGCAGCTACCACATTAGCACAGATATGGACCATTTCTATGACAGCAGAAAGTTCCTTTGGACAGTGATGGTTTGGAAGGAGGACTGCCAAAATCAGAATGTCTACAGTGAAACCATTGTGCTGCCCAGCTTACTTATTATGTGACCTTGAGCAGGTTACTTCTCTGATTCTTAGCTTCCTCATCAATAAAATGAGTATAATAGTGACCCTGACTTCTGCCTTTCCTGTGAAGGTTATATACAATAGTGTTAAGTGTTTAACACCTTGCCTAAGGAAATATCCAATAAATGGAAGTTACTATTCTTTTCTTAGTATTTGATAATCTCTTTCCATTTTCTTTTTGAAAATGGAAGGTGGACACTGTATTTATTTATTTAAAGCTAATAATGAACAAGATATTATTGGGCCAATTTCTAGCTAGATGAGCAGGAAGGCAGTGTTGTAGGATGTAGAATACCCCAGTTTGTCATCCTGGTGATTTTTTTATATGCTGTTCCTGAAAAACATGATAGAATTTGTTTTACATCTCTTCTGCCAGGAAGTAGCCCTTCTGGCTTTGTTAGAAGCATGGTTTGTAATAATTGTACCCACCCCAGATGGCTTCTGAAAACCCTTTGAAATGCCATCTGCCAGGCGTGTGTCCAGCAGGCAGCCTGTCATTCTGCTGGAAGAAAAGAGGAGGCAGAGTCTCCTTCCTCCCTCACATCATTGAATGGAGCCCGGTCAGGTTGGCCCAGACCCAGGGCGTGTTGCTCAGAGGGTAACTGGGAGTCAACCTCCTACAAGCCTGCAGAGTGGGAAGGTTTTGACCAGTAATAAACCCTGAAGGTTTTGTGGGTGGAGACATGCTCCCCCTCCCCTACCCCAAAGGCCATCTACATATATTCATTTACATGGGAAAATGGTATCTGCTAGTTTTATTTTTTCTTCTAAAATGTAGCATTTTTGAAGTTTTCCCCTTTTTTTGAATCCTTTCAGGAAATTAAGACTCAGGGATGATTGTCTGGTTTGGTAAGACAAAAACCCAACAAATCTTTTGTTTGGTTTTGTTCATGCTCATTATTAGGTGGGAGTGTAGTGGGGGGTGGGTTAAGTTAATGGCAACATACAGAACCTATTTAGGACAGATCCTTTCACAGCAAGTTTCAGATTCTATTCTTGCACCGCACTGGAATTTCCCAATGTGATCTTTTCTAAGTAGCTGGCTGAACAGCTTTTCCACTTGATTCCAGGACATCACACTCCCATGCTTTGCTCCTGCCTTGCTGACTGCTGCCTCTGAGTCTCCATTGAGGATCTCCCTTCTTTGCCCAGTTTCTACATATCACAAGGTTTTAGTGTTCAACCCAAACTTTTTGGCTTCCTTGTTTCTACACTCTCTGTCCCTAAATTGGCTGTTTTTGTCTCTTGCCTTTAAGTACCATTGGTTTACAGATCACTCCCAAATTTATGTCCCAACCTTCAGTCTGATCTTCAGATTTATATAGTCAACTGTCAACAGCTCTCTACACCTCAAAAAGCACCTCAAACTTTACCTAATAGTTCACTTAATTCTTTTTCCCTAAAAATCATTTCTCCTATTTTCTTAATCTCTATAAATGGCAGTACCCATTTGTCCAGACCAAAATTTACATGTTAGTCTTTATTCTTCCATTTTTCTTACACACTATATCCACTCCATCAGCAAGTTCTGTCAAAGATACGGACCTAGCGTGGCCTAGTGAGTTGATGCACTTTTAACATGTCTATACTGTGGACTACATTACTGCTGTTTAAAATACTCAATAATTTGTGATAGAAATCCGAGTGCTTTGTGCCTCCTTCTTTCTACTGTTCTTGTCTTTGCCCTGATTTCTCTCCTGGACACTATAACAGCAGCTAACTGGCCTACTTCTGTTTTTTGCCACATGCCCCTGCCATTCTGCCCATAGACTGTTCTCTGTAAAGCCAGGTGATCTTTTAAAAATGAATCATGGTATCACCCTGCTCCAAATCCTCTAGTGCAGGGGTGTCCAACCTGCAGTCCATGGGCTGTATGCAGCTCAGGATAGCTATGAATGCAACCCAACACAAAATCATAAATTTACTTAAAACATTATGAGATTTTTTTTGTGTGTATGATTATGTGTCACAATGTACTTACTGTGTGGCCCAATACAACTTTTTTTCCAGTATGGTGCAGAGATGTCAAAAAGTTGGATACCCCTCCTAGTCACTACCCATCACACTTGTAATAAAATAGGAAGTGTTTTCTGTGGCTTACACAGCCTGGACCCTGGCTTTCCTTTCTAACTAACCTCTTTTCCATTGCTGGGCTGCAGTTTCTCTGTGCCTAACCCCTTCCTGGGATGGTCTTCCCATCGCCTTTGCAGGGCTTTCAATTTTGATGGCACCTCCCTAGCCAGGCTTTTCCTAATCACCTCTCTAAAGTCACTTCTCTACTCTCTACCTTCTTTCATTCTTCCAAGACACTTTCAAGCCCTTTAATCTATCTGAAATACTTTGTAATACTTTAACCTATGTTTTCTACAGAAGAATGATTTCCAGTTGAAATTAAATGCTATGTCTATTTCCATATCTATCTATTTTCTATCTTTCATAGTAAAATATAAATTCCATTAGGGCAGGGGCTTTGTGCTGTTTCATGAGTGTTTCTCAGTGACAGAATTAGTGTCGGACATCTATGGGGACCTCAGAAACTAATTATTAATCAATGGAAAATAGGATCTATGTAATGATGAATATAGAAACCATTTGAACTCAAAGATTCTACTAACTCGTTTAATTCTAACAATAACATAAATGATGTTACTGTTTCTAAACTATAATATCTGCTAATGATTATTGAACTAAGTCCTCTAAAAGGATTATTCCATGCAATAGACAGCAAACCTGTGGTAGAGGTCCCATTATGATCCCTATTCTGCAGGCGAGGAAACTGAGAAGTAACAGAAACTAGGGGACTTACCCAAAACCACAAGTTGGGGAGCCAGACCATGAACCCCTTGCTCACACTCCAGTCCCCTGCTAGTCTACACTACATGATACTCTTTATGTTTCTGGAGTTCCTACTAATGTGCCTGACACTGGAAGTTGAAAAGTAGTGAGCTTCCTTAAGGGACTTCTTTGTCATTGCATGCTAGGGAAGCCAGAAATGGGAACAAACTAGGAAATAGTACAAGAGTGGACTTCTGAGTACTGCACAAGCAGGCTGTGTTACCAGACAGCCCCAGCATGCTAGGTGTGATAAGCAAACATTTGTAATATAACCCTTCTATGGAAAATTTGCCACTATTGAAGGCACTCAGATTTTAGACATTAGAAAAATTGGGCTCATTTTAAAATGTATTTATCTTGAGTAAAATATGCAAAATGTGTTGAGTTTGTTTTTGTTTTTGTTTTTGTTTTTGTTTTTTGACTTAAGAAAATTATGGATGTCCACCATAGGTTTGTGGATATGATCAGTCATATAGGTAAGTGATCAGAGATTACACTGTGCTAGGAACATTAGAGTAACTAGGTATATACAGTTGGTTATTTAATTGTTTTGAAATTCATAGGAATAGAGGGAAATCTCTGCATTCTGTATATGAAAATATCGACCTTAAAGCTTCATAGGTGGTGGTGCCTTTCAAAAGGAACTATGTCAATTATATCCCCTAACTTGAACATGGAAGCAGAAATTACGTGTCTTGCTGATTCTGTGGGGTATTTTGGGGGGGAGGAGTGGTCTTTCATAATATTTAACATAGATTCCTAGTATGCTATACATAATTTCCTCTTGGTTATTTTCTTTTCTTGGTTTCTGTATAAACCACACAACTCCACAATGCTTCCACACTTTCAGTCAAGACTGAACTAAAATGATAAGTCTGTGCCTAGTACCTGAGCTGGGTCACTTACATTCTCTAGAAGCTCTATATTTATTATTTCACAAGAGGGATTGTTCTACTTATTAGTCATTGCCAGAATAACCAGCTTAATTCAAGGGGAGAATTTTCTAGCAAAATGCAGTATCCTTTCTCTCTAGTCAAAACTATGGGTTGCCTCTTTTTACCCAACATATTAATTACATGGAGAGCAGCAGCATTATTTAGTCCCTAGGAGATACCAACCACAGATCTTGGGCAATCACATTTCCCTAGTGATGTGTTTATGCAATGGGTGTCATTTTCATCAAAGGGCTTATTACATTGGAACTTGCCAAATGTACTGAGGAACACAAGAATCTTGAGGACTGTGATAAAAATATAAACCCCTTAGGCTTTGAGCTTAAGGTGGATCACTTTTTAGTACTTACCAGAGTCCTCAAAGCTGCTGCTGATGAATGTTGTATAAAATCCAGTTCACGTGCTTCACTCAGTGCGTTTTTGAAAGGATAAAACTCTCCTTGGGTTACTGCACTGTGCTTGGTTTTCTCCTGCTCCTATTTGAGAGTCCCAGGCACTGGCTGGTGGAGGTAAGGATGTCATTCTGTTAGACATTGTCTTCACCAGGTCCCTGTCTGGGCAGATCAGTTTCAGAGTCTTCAGTAGTTCAGCTTACTCAACAGGTTATTTTAATTACACCTGGATGTGGAGCTTCCTGCTTTAGGTGACTGATGGATTCTTGTGTCTGTGTCTTTTTTGCTGTAGGCACAACCCGGGCTCGGAGGGAAGGAGAAGTGCCTGGCGTGGACTACAACTTTCTGACTGTGAAGGAATTCCTGGACCTTGAGCAGAGTGGGACTCTTCTGGAAGTCGGCACCTATGAAGGTGAGCTTAAAATGTGTGGCAGTGACAAGGACACAGGAGATCCAGGGCTATCCAGGCAGAAATGCTTTGTGGACTAGTGAGGTCTAAACAACTAATATTGCAGTTCACCTTAATGTGAATAATAAAATACATGAAATAAAACTTTGTTTAGCTCTTTAAAAGTAGTTTTGGGGTTTTTTTCTTCTGTGAATTTCTCATTTAATTATTTTAAATATTTGTGTTTTGTTTTTTAATGTGAGCATGTGCGGTATTAGAAGGAAGGTGAACAAGAATCATGATCAGCCACAAAATGTGACCTTATTGGTAGTGTTGTTTTAACCTTGAAGGAATGAAATATCATTTTTACCACTAATTGATTTTTAATGGATTTTTTGAGTAGATAATACATTTTCATGGTTCATAAAGCAAACTATTTCAAAAATATTCAATAACTAATCTCTTTCCTATACCTGTTTTCCACTTGCCTAATTTCCAGTGCTTTTTCCTCCCAGCATTACAACCAATGTTATTAGTTTCTGATTACTGTTCTGAAGTTTCTTTATGTAAATACAGGTGTGTGTGTGTACATACACATATGTTTTTTATGTGTATGTGTTCATATTTCTTTCCTGTTTTACCTAACAGGTAGTATATAATACATACATGGCATTTGGAACCTTGCTGTTTTATTCAATAGTATGTCTTATCGGTCTTTGCAATTCAGTAATAGAGCACTTCTTGTTTTATTTTTCAGTGGCTGTATAATCTTTTTGTATGGGCATATCATCATTTATTAAACTGGTTCCTGTTGGATAAATATTTTTAATATTTTAAAACACTGAACAATTGCATTGAATAACATGGGCATGAATCATTTCACACAAATGAAAATATATCTATAGGATAAGATACCACAAATGAGATTATAAGGTCAAAGCCAAATGTGGGGAAAAAATTTAACTTACATTTTATGGAACAGTATTATAGCTTGATTGTTCTATTGGGTGTTATTATTTGAGACAGGAGGACATAATATGATACTATTACCTAGGTCAATTACTAACTTAGTCAAATTATTATTGTATCTCTTTATGAATGCTAAACATTTGGATTTATTGCATGATTATAGGGGCATTTTCAAGATTGGGTTTACAAACAGAGTAAAATACAAAGTTGACTATTATTTTATTAGGGACATGGCCTTGATGTGAGAACAACCCCTGTTCCAGGCAGAGGCTAACAGTTAAGTGATGATGAATCTTAAGTGTGCTGATTTCCAAATTGTGAATATATAATGGACATTGTTTAGATGTTAATCAAATTTCTGATTATGAACTCAGGAATATTTCCTTTGAGCATTGCTAACTGTCAGTTATCTTAGTATCCTTTAGGTTGAGGGGCTAGGAGGGGATCTCAGAATGCCCAAAGCAAGATGCTTCATTAAGGACTAGGAGTAAGGGGAGGGGAGGGAGGAATACTAGGAACATCTTCTATGTGTGGTCTTATAGATGTGAATCTAGTTAAGTGGCTGAGGACAAAACAAATGTGAATCCTATTTGGTTAGCAGAAAATGAATAGTCCTTTTCTGAAATCAGTTACTAAGCCCACCTGGGGAGCTTGAGTCCCTTAGTATGAAAAACATCCATTTGCATTTTGGGAGAGGTTAAGACTAAGAGTGGTTGTGCAAAGCCAAAGAGTATTGGGCTGAAAGGGAAAAGAATTTGACCTGGACAACAGCTGGTTTGGGAAAAAAGGAAAATGAACTCATTTGAGCTGTTTATGTTGCAGGTGACACAGAGGTGGAATCATTTTCTTTTCCCATTTAATCTTACTGCTTTGACAGAGGTAGTTATTATCACCAATTTTTAGATGGGGATGCTGAGGCCAAGTAGCACTTAGGAATTTTCTCAAGGTTTACTTTATCAAGGCCATACAGCTAGTTCTAGAATATTAGAGCCAGGAACAAAAACCAGCTCAGTTTGACACATCCCATACTCTTTTCTGAAAATCTTAAAAAAGGAATATCCTAGATGTAACTAAAAAGTTGGAAAAACAACCCATTAGTAGCTTAGCTTAACTTCCTGGTATGTAGCAACACAGAGATGTTTTTCAAAAAATGTCTGATCAACTTGCAGCCAAGATGGAGGTGTAGGTAGATGCACTGTGCTTCCTTGCACAACCAAAAGAAGGACAACAACAATTTAAAAACAAACAACAACCATAACTTACAGAAAATTGAACTGCATGGAAGTCTGACAGCCAAAGAGTTAAAGAAGACACATTCATCCAGACCAGTAGGAGAGGCAGAGATGGGCAGCTGGGAGGAGAGGGCTCGCAGCAAGGTGGCAGATTGTGGACAGGTGCACAAGGAGGATGGCAGACCTGGTGGTCCCACATTTGCGTGCAGGCTAAACTGGGTAGCAGGATAGACCATGCAACCCAGGGTCCCAATGTGTGGAAATAAAGCCTCAAAACTGATTGAAAGCCTCAAAAAAGATTGAAAACACCTGTGGGGGTTGAGGTGCCAGGAGAAACTCCCAGTCTCACAGGAGAGTTCATTGGAGAAGCCCACAGGGTCCTAGTATATACACAAATCTAGCCACATGGGAATCAGGACCAGAAGGGCCCAATTTGCTTGTGGGAAGTGGGAGAAGTGACTAAAATCGGGTAGAGAGTGAAGCAAGTGCCATTATTCTCTCTCAGACCCCTTCCCCACATACAGCATCACAACACAGCAATGTGGGTTGCCCCCCCCCACCCCACTGAACACCTAAGGCTCCACCCCTCAGTATGTAACAGGCACATTAAGACAAAAAATGTGGCCCAAACAACAGAACAGTTTAAAGCTCCAGAGTAAATACAACTAAGCAACAGAGAGATAGCCAACCTATCAGATGCATAGTTCAAAACATTAGTAATCAGGATGCTCACAGAACTGGTTGAATTTGGTCACAAATTAGATGAAAAAATGAAGGTTACGATAAGTGAAATAAAGGAAACTATACAGAGAACCAATAGTGATGGGAAAGAAACTGGGACTCTAATCAACAGTGTTGACCAGAAGGAAGAAAGAAACATTCAACCAGAAAAGAATGAAGAAATGAGAATTCAAAAAATGAGGAGAGGCTTAGGAACTTCCAGGACATCTTTAAACATTCCTACATCTGAATTATAGGGGTACCAGAAGGGGAAGAGGAAGAGCAACAAGTGGAAAAGTTATTTGAACAAATAATAAAGGAGAACTTCCCCAGTCTGGCAAAAGGAAATAGACTTTCAGGAAGACCAGGAAGCTCAGAGAGTCCCAAAGAAGTTGGACCCAAAGAGGAACACACCAAGGCACATCATAATTACATTATTCAAGATTAAAGACGAGAAGAGAATCTTAAAAGTGGCAAGAGAAAAGGAGACAGTTATCTATAAAAGAGTTCCCATAAGACTGTCAGCTGACTTCTCAAAAGAGACCTTTCAGGCAAGAAGGGGCTGGAAAGAAGTATTCCAGGTCATGAAAGGCAAGGACCTACATCCAACATTGCTCTATCTAGCAAAGCTATTATTTGGAATGGAAGGGCAGATAAATTCCTTCTCAGACAAGGTCAAGTTGAACTGATAAATGTTAAATATGAAATGTTAAAGGGACTTGTCTAAGAAAAAGAAGATAAAAAATGTGTACAGTAAAATGACAGCAAACTCACAATTATTAACAACCATACCTAAAACAAAAACAAACTAAGCAAACAACTAGAACAGGAACAGAACCACAAACAAGGAGATCACATGGAGGGTTACCAACAGGGGAGTGGGAGGGGGAGAGAGTGAAAAAAGATACAGAGAATAAATGGCATAGATGGTAAGTAGAAAATAGACAGAGGGAGGGTAAGAATAGTATGGGAATGTAGAAGTCAAAGAACTTATATGTATGACCCACGAACATGAACTAAAGAGGGGCAATGTGGGTAGGAGGGGAGTGAAGGGGGGAAAACAGGACAACTGTAATAGCATAATCAATAAAATATATCTTTAAAAATGTCTGATCATCTCATATGAAACAGGTTTTCATTGAATGTTGCTTAGCTATTTTGGAGTTGAAATTTTCTTATGCCCAAGATTAATCCATTCCATTTTAAGGCATTTGACTGCACTGTATTTTAAGTCTTTGACCTTTTAGCTGTATAATTTACCTACCATATGAGATGGCTCATCATATTTTGGGACCGACCAGAGTCTACGATGTTGACTCCCATAAGCTGAAAGCAAAGTGGAATTTTTATTAAATGCCAGGTACTGTGACAGGAATAGGCTTGGCTAGAGTTTTGAGAGCTTCCTCTACCTTTGTGTGCTCTGAACCACCCCTCCATGCTGGGCTCCAAAGGGGTGCACACTGACTTTGCCTGGGTTTGAATCTTGGCCCATCTGCTGTTCAGCTGTATGCCTCTCACAAGTTAATTAATGCTCCATGTCTCCATTTCACTTTGGAAAAATGAGGATAATAATCATGCCTCATCATAGGTAGGATGAAATGATACAATAATGGGAAAGGGCTGAGCCTAGTGTCTGATACATGCAAGCTTTCAGTCAGCATTAGCTCTTGTACCATTTGTTTACACACATGACTGGTCCTAAGTTGCCACCTGGGGGCATTCCCTTCCTCTTCTACTGGTCAGTAAGCCAACAGATTTGCCAGGAAAATAGCTTTATGTACTTTCCAGGGACTCACCATCTTTTTTCCCTGCTCAATTTTTTTCCCTTGCCTTATCCTGGCTCCAGAGAGGAGAACTATATTGCAACAACACAAAATACTCTTTAAAGTAGGACACTTGAAACATTTTTAAGTAAGAGAAATAAATGTACATGATGGAATACTTCCTATGGTAAGGAACCTTCAAATATTTAAGTCCCATTGCTTTCCCTCCTCCCTGTAGGTAGCCACTGTTACTGGATCTAGTGCAAAGATTCAGAGAACTTATGCATAAATGGCATATACATATGTGTTCTTCTTTATTTCACTTTGTGCTTGCCCTTCA